TTATTATTATTATTATTGTTGTTATTATCATTGCAAACACTCGCTAACAGTCTGCATACCTCCCGTATATTCTGTTCCTGCTATTCTCTCACACCACTTTGTCTTTACCTTAAAAATCATCCCGTCATCATTTTTGAAAAAGCAGAGTATTATAGGTAGGCAGAGCCTTGACTGATTTTCAGTCATTAAGTAAAAAATATCACCCCAAAAATGTTTTCGTCTATTGACTGGGCTTAACATTTCGCCTTGAAGGCTTCTTTAGGAGAAACTGTATATAATTCAAGGAAAGGGAATTTACAAAGGAGGTATGACCACGTTTTTCATGCACATTTTTCCGTTCTGCTTTATTTGTCTGAAATGTTAATGAGGCAGACAAAAACATGTATTAAATGAAATATGCAAATACATATTTCTGATTTGTGTTTATGGTTCGAAATGGGGTCGGACATATTATCATCTATCCGCTTCGTCCTTAATTAAAGAGTTAAAGTTACATGGGGTTATCAGGCGGACGGATCGTGACTAACTGCATTTGTTTCAAGAACCTCATCAAATAGCAAACGTTACATCGCATAATATTCTACTTATCCGGTTGCCAAAAACATCTCTGCAGGGATTCCGCATTCTCCTGGTATTTATTCATTTTTCAATTCCTAGACAGATGACAAGATATCTGCCTTGGTTCAATCCATGTTCAATTCAGCTGTTGGCTGCAATTTTAATTTGTTGAGTTCCTTCATTCTGATTTTCATTCAAAATTCCTTGGAACGTTACTTCATTTCATCAATATTTGTTGCCCTGGTACTATCTTTTTCTATGTGGCTCTTCAGTGAGTTTGCAAAGTCCCTAGCCAATAATTTTATTTGGTAAAGTTCTCCTATGTCGTTTCTATTTGCTAATTCTTGAGCTGTAAGAGCTCGCTGGTCTATGGTTTCTCGCTTGAATTCCCTCACCTTCCATTGAACATTTTAGTCTTTTTCTTTGTATGTCTCATTGGTCTCCGTTTTATCATTTGCAGTGGCTTGCAGCATAAAAAATGTTGCTTCTTTCTCTCTCTTACACTCATAGATGATTTTGTTTCTTATATCCAAGAATTTCCTCCGATGTGGTAACGTGTTTCGTTTACAGCTTTCCATAGGTCTTAACAGGTATCATCAACATCTTCCTATTTTGATAGAATACCTGCATATGTATTAGACATATTATTATTCTAAATTTTGTTGCAACGTTTGATCTCTCAGTTTTGTTGAAACAAATCCGCTTGGGAGGAAGGGGGGGGGG